GGTAATTGGTGTCAGATCTGGAACCGGAAAGTAGAACAGGGTTTAGGAAACATATTCATTATAAGGTTTAACTGTTGTAATTGTGGCTATTATTGAAAAAAGAATAAAAGATGCATTGAAAATGAAATGGGTAATTGACAATTATCAAAATAAATGTGTTAAATAACTCACTTAACTACATAATTCAGACAAAAGTCAGCATTGTAGTTTCTTCCTAATTAAATAGATATTTAATACTAGTTTTCTATGCATGAAAATTAAAACAGAAAACCCTTTAGAATCTTATTGCTTCCTCTTATTTAAAAACATTTAATTCATTGCGTTTAGTATTTCTATGATTTATTCATGCTGTGGCATGTATCACTACTTTAATCCTTTTTATAGCTAATATTCTATTTTATGGATATACCACATTTTGTTTGTTCATTCATTAATTGATGGGCATTTGGCTTGTTTCCCTTTTTTGACTATTATGAATAATGCTGCTATGAACACTCATATAGAAGTTTTTGTGTGAATATATGTTTTCAATTTTCTTGGGTATATATACACCTGGGAGTGGGAATTGCTAGATAATATGATAGCTCTATGTTTAAACGTTTGAGAAACTGCAAGGCTGTTTTTCAAAATGAAACTACAAGACTGTTTTTCAAAATGAAACTGCAAGACTGTTTTCCAAAATGGCTGCACTATTACACATTCCCATCAGCGATGTCTAAGGGTTCCAACATTTCCACATCCTCACCAACACTTGGTATTGTCCATGTTTTTGATTAGAGCCATCCTCATGAGTGTGAAGTAGTATTTCAATGTAATTCTGACTTGCATTTCCCTCATGACTAATAATGTTGAGATTTTTTTCTTGTGTTATTGGTCATTTATTTATTTCTTTGGCTAAGTGTCTATTCAAATCTTTTATTTTTTAATTGAGTCACTTGTCTTTTATTGATGAGTTGTAAGAGTCCTTTATATATCCTGGATACTATAACTTTATCAGATATATGATTTGCAAATATTTTCCCCCAATCTGTGGGTTTTTACTTCTTGATAGTATTCTTCATAACACAAAAGTTTTTTCTGAATGATGTCCTGTTTATCTATTTTCTCTTTTATTACTTGTATTTAGGTATTATATTTAAGAGGTATTATACCTAATCCAGGGTCACAAAGACTTACTGCTATGTTTTTGGCTAAGAGTTTTATAATTTTGCCTTTTATATTTAGGTCTTTGGTCCATTTTGAGTTAATTTTTTTTTTTTTTTTTTTTTTTTGGTATAAGATGTGAGGTAGAGGTCCCACTTTATTATTTTGCATGTAGATATCCAGATATCCAGTTGTCTCCATATCATTGACTGAAAAGACTATTCTTTTTACCACTAAATCGTCTTGCAACCTTGCTAAAATTCAATTGACCATAAGTGTATTGGTTTATTTCTGTACTCTCATTAGATTCCATTGACCTATATCTCTATCCTTATGCCAGTACCGCACTGTTTTGTTTACTGTAGCTTTGTAGTAAATTTTGAACTCTAAAGTGTTAGTTCTCTAATTTTGTTCTTTTTCAAGAGTGCTTTGGCTTTTCTTACTGCCTCCCTTGCATTTCCATATGGATTTTATAATCAGCGATGTCAACTTCTGCAAGAAAGACAGCTAGGATTTTGATAGGATTGTGTTGAATCTGTAGTCCAATTTTGGGAGTACTATCATGTTAACATCATCTTCCCATTCATGCACGTGGACTAGCTTACCATTTATTTGATCTTCTTCAATTTTTGTCAGTAATGATTTGTTTTCAGTTTCAATTATTTTGTTTTCAGTTACAAGTCTTGCACTTCTTTTGTTAAACTGTTTCCAAATATTTATTCTTGATTATATAATTCTCATAATAAAATTCTGAAATCTTATTAATTTCATTTTTGTGGCCATGCACTTTAAAACTTGCCTTTTAACAAGACTTCCAGATGATTCTTATGAACATTAAGTTTGTGAAGTGCTGCTCTATTGACAAACTGAACTCACGTGACATTCCACACAGCACTGGCAAATTCTGTCCCGTAACTCCGCTAGCTCTCCAACAAGAAGTGACTTGAGGCAGCCCAAGGATACTACCTAAAACAATGAATTAAATGTTTTTAAATCAGAGGAAGCAATAAGATTCTAAAGGGTTTTCTGTTTTAATTTGCATGCAACGGAAAACTAGTATTAAATATCTATTTAATTAGGAAGAAACTACAATGCTGACTTTTGTCTGAATTATGTAGATAAGTGAGTCATTTGAAACAATTATTTTGATAATTGTCAATTATCCATTTCATTTTCAATGCATTTTTATTCTTTTTTCAATAATAGCCACAATTACAACAGTTAAACTTCATAATGAATATGTTTCCTAAACCCTGTTCTACTTTCTGGTTCCAGATCTGACACCAATTACCATTCTGATTTTGGACAAACCACTTAATATTTGTAACTTACAATTTTTTCAACCGAATAATAAAAGAATTGGACTAGATTTCTCCAACATCTCTCTCTTTTGGCTTTACATTATATAATGCTAACTTTTCATCATATCCAAACATGCTATATAATTTTATGAACTGTTACAGAGTCAGTCATAAGCGATATAAAGTATGATTCTGAATAAAGGCTGTTGGGTCTCATTTTTCATACATAGTTACAAAAACAGATCAAATTCAATAAAGGTTTTATAGTCATGACAATATATTCTCTTAACTTGCAATGTGGTTTTAGGAAACAATGAAACAAATTAAACAAATGCATGATTCCTTAAATTTAGTTGACATGGGATTTAGTTACATGTAAGACTCTCCTCCCCCAGCCAGATTAACCCTGTTCTGTATATTTAATACTCATCTTCCCCCTAAATTTCACAATAATAATTTTATAAAAATCAGTGTGTAAACTGCTGCATTGTCATGAAAGGCTACTAATGATACCTTTCAAAGATAAAGTGAACGTTTTTGTAAAAAGCCACCAAATTGGAGGCATTTACCAATATTCATCTTCCTATGGCATCACTACCCTAGATGTACTTTGCAATTTTAATAAAGCCTTGTCTTACTTCAGGCTTCCTAGAAATAGAGCACGAGGCAGGGATTCTTTCTTGCTCGGTGATTTATTGAGGAAGTGCTCTCAGAGGAAACCGGTAAGAGGCTGAGGATAACAGGAACAGACAGGAGAAGGGGGCTGAGCAGAGATGGGCATCCAACTGGAATCTGGCCTTTGCTGATTACCAGAGCAGCTCTGGCTGCGAATGGTGAAGTGCTTTTCTATCGACAAACTGAACTCAAGTGACATTCCACGCAGCAAATTCTGTCCCATAACTGCTAGCTCTTCAACAAGAAGTGACGTGAGGCAGCATAGTTACAGAAAACAGCACAAGAACCAAGGATACTAAACACAGTGACTTAAATGTTTTTAGGTAAGAGGAAGCAATGAGATACTATAGGGTTTTAATTTCTGGGCAATGGAAAACTAGTGTGAAATATTTATTAATTAGGAGGAAATGACAAGGCTGACTTCTCTCTGCATGATAGACAAAATTGAGTTCTCCAACCATGAGGCAAGGTGCTGGACTTTTGTACCCCTGCACTATTCAGTTGATGGGTGAGTGGATTGTAACTTCCCAGGCATCTCCTGGTAGGCGGGCCCCACTGGCCAAGGACATTTCCCAGGAGAGTGAATGGCTGCGAGCTGCTAGCAGTAGCACTCACAGCAGCTAGGGAAAAATGCACTGCACTGATCAGGTAAAGGGCCAGCATGTACCAAGGTCCAGTTCCACAATTAGTGGATAAATATTTAATAACATTATTTTAAAAAATAATTAGGCTGTATCACTTTGATACTTTTTCTCTAGCAGAGTGACTAAAGAGAAGCAGGTTTTTAACTGGAATTTTATTTCTGTTGTGTCTCTAGCCAAAGCTATGCTGACGTTTGATAGATTTTTTTTTTTTTTAAGAGACAGGGTTTCACCATGTTGGCCATGCTGGTCTTGAACTCCTGACCTCAAGTGATCCACCCGCCTTGGCCTCCCAAAGTGTTGGGATTACAGGCGTAATCCACCGCACCCAGTCAGAATATTTTTTCATAAAGAATAGAACAACATTATAAAATTTTATGCATTAGGGACAAATTTTATTTTACAATTTTCATTTCAGTGAGTCACAAGATATTCAACACAAAATGAAATTTCACAAAATTTCACAAAATGAAAAATTTGTTTCAGATTCAATGTCTGCCTCCATCATCCATATTCATTCTTCCAATCTCTCAGACCAGAAATTTGGAGTATGTGGCTTCTCTACCTCACACAATTTGCTCTAACTTCAATATATACTCCAGAAATTACTGACTTTTCACTGTTTCTATGATTCCCATGTGTAATATATAATGCTTACAATGCATACATGCATACAATAATACAATAAATCTGTGTCACAACCACACCTAAACTGTTAAGTTTATATGATTATAAGCTGAGAGGTTTTGCTGATCTTGGCTGAGCTCAGCTGTGCGGGTCTTCTGGTCTTGGCTGGGGTTCACTCACACACAAGCAGCTGACAGTTGGCTGATCTAGGATGGCCTCAGCTGGGATGACAGGCTGTTTCCTCACCTTCCAGCAGGCGAGCCAGTCCCAAGAAAGAGAAGGCTGAAATAGGGAGGCCATTAATTGAGCCCATCACATGAAATGCATCTGCCACACCAATACAGTTTGATATCAACTCTCACCTGGATGTTTGCAGTCGCCTAACTCTTCTCCTTTCACTCACTATGCTGCCTTACAAACCTATTCTCCACAGATCAGCTAGAGCAACCCTTTAAATCCTAAGTAGAATGCTACCATTCCTCTGCTCAAAATACTAGAGAGGAGATGCCACAGTCTTTACCATGATCTTCAAGACCCTATGGGAGGTGGCCCTGTCTTACCACCGTAGCCTCCTACCACTGCCCCAACATGCACACTGAGTTCCAGCCATAGCATCTGTTTCTTCATTGATCTGCCAAGGACATGAATGACTCAGAATCTTGAACTTATACTTCCCTCCGAATCCACTGAGCCTACTCCCTCTTCTTCTCAAATGGCAACTTCTCTGGCCAACCTATATGTACTAAAACGTCCATCCAGCACTCTATGTCATCCTTACCATGGTTTATTTTTCTTCATAGCACCTACCAATTTGTGAATTACTATATATGCATTTTTGTTTGTATGCATCTCTCTCCCTGCACCAGTATGTGAACTCCATGAGACTGGAGAGCGTATTTATTGTGTTCACTGCTGTAACCCCAGTGTCTAGAACAGTGCCTGGCACACTGTAGGTGTTTAATATTGATTTGTTAAGCTAAGCCAATGAATAAATATTCTTTTGTCTATGAGATGATGTTTAAAATTATTCAATTATTCACAACTGCCTGTAAGGAATGAATGTTAGTGAATTACTGTGATACCAATGAAAGTTAAATGATGCAATGAAGATTGGGTGGATCACAAGGTCAGGAGTTTGAGACCATTCTGGTCAATATGGTGAAACCCTGTCTCTACTAAAAATGTCAAAATTAGCTGGGCGTGGTGGCGGGCGCCTGTAGTCCCAGCTACTCAGGAGGCTGAGGCAGGAGAATCGCTTGAACCTGGGAGGCGGAGGTTGCAGTGAGCTGAGATCACACCACTGTACTCCAGCCTCAGTGACAGAGTGAGGCTCCACCTCCAAAAAAAAAAAGATCTAAATATTATTATTCTCTGCCCTCATCTGCTGTCTTGGCTTTAGGTCATGCTTAGATCTTTTTCAGGTGCAATTTGAATTGATGCAACTAATGGAAACTAGAACAGAAGTTCATATTGAACTATTGTATTACACTATTGGACTCATCTTTCAGTATCACCAGGTGCATAAGGATAATGTCAAAAGTAATTCAAGAGAAAGAAATATGATCGCAGCTTAACACAATGTAAATTTATTATTTGTACTTTTTGTCTAAATGGTTTGCCTAAAAGACTGAAAGACGTTTTATATTAGTTAAAATACTTGAGGATAATAACATAAAAACAGTTTCCTTTCCGACTTGTTTATAAAAGGAAATCTTCACTGTTTTGAACATCAGTTATTTTAAACTTTTAAGCTGTTAGCATAGGAAAAGCAACCAAATTCTAAGTGCAGTAATCACTTTACTGCATGGTCATATGAAATCAAGGCGATGTTATGGGTATTACTGGAAAGCTGGACAGAGTAATGGGAGAAGTGACTAAAAGTATGCAAAACTAAGCAGATTGTGTCTCTAGATTATTTCCTATCTCAAGTTTAGTTATTTACTAATTTGGCAACATCTGACCTATCTTTACTTGTGAGAAAATAAAGAAACACATAAACCAACTCCCAGAATATGGTTATACATAGGTGTAGCCATGACTTTGAATGTATTTGTTTGAATAGCATAAAACAAAATAAAAATAAAATCTTGTTATAGTGCAAGAAATGGCAGTCATTAAACTAAGATGAGGCAAGTGCCATGAAGTATGAAAATATGGTACTTGAATTCTATTTATTAGAAAGTCTTCAGTGAGCTGAGCATGTTTTTTTAACAAATTCAATTACTGATTTGAATATTTATTATACTTAATTATTGCAGCCATGAAAAGAGGTGCTGGCTGAGGCTGCATTTAATAAAAACATTTAATCAGCTTGAGGTTAGTAAACCATTTAATTTGTTTTCTCATGAAGATTTAACTTCTAAAATAATTTCATTTATATATAGCCCTAGATTCCAGTCTACATAATATACAAATCATTTTAGAATGACACTAGGTTATTTCAACTGCTTTTCTAGAGAAGTGTTAAATAAGGGAGTAAAGTTTTGGCTTTTTCTATAATTGAAATAAGTGTACAATGAGCAGTAACTTCCTGATTTCACTGCTATTTTGTTTCATCAACATAATGATGTAGATTTACTCTGCATATATATGGAAGAGTGAAAGAAGGTTGCGAAGGAATAACTATCAGTTAATATAGGCTATATAGTAGTTATTTTTACAAATCAACTATAATTTCTGAATGGATATTCAGACCATATTTATATTACATAGAGGAGGTAGACACCAAAAGATTTAACAAATGTGCCAAATATTGGTGAATATTTAGTTAGGTACCAAAAGGATGTTGTATAAATTAAGATGCTTTTGGCCATAAGAGACTCATCTCAAAAATGGCTTGAAAATATGGGGAATTATTATCCCACTTAGTATGAAGTTAAAGGTAGGGCAAGTCCAAATTAATTCAAGTTAATTAAAGCCCCAAGTTCTTGGAATTTGCTCTGCTGGTCTTAGCTGGTTAGCTTTTGTCCTGAAGTTTGTAACTTCATGACCAGAAGATGACTGAAGTATTTTCTAAGTATAAAGCCTGAAGGTGTAAACCAGGTAGTCTCAGTAAAACCACTGATGCGTGGTCACCTTTCCCTTAGTTGACAAATATTTGTCTTCCAGATACTTTGAATCAGAATGGGCATTTTAACTAAGATCCAGTACAACTAAAGGCAATAATCAGACAAATGATAAAATAATTATTCTGAGCTGAAAACACAGTCTGAATATTGGAAGAGGTTCCTGATTTCCAGGCAGAATTGATAAGCAAAGATATCAACCTAAACACATCTTGGTTATAGTCTAAAATTTAAAGAATAAATGGGAAAAGATTACGAACTTTAAGGAAGAAATAACAACTTACACATAAAAAGGAAAAACTATCTGTTGACAGATTTATCACCTGCTAGATAAGAGCAGAATAACCATTCACTAGGAGAAAACGGGAGAAGCTAGAAGATACTGGAGTCACATGTATAGAGTACTGAAGAGAAAAAAAAAAACCTAGAAATTCAATACACAGCTAAGATATCATTTACCTATAAATGATACATGGTAAAATAAAGGGTAAAATAAGGATATTTGCAGATTCACAAGGAGAAATTGGCCTTCAGGTACCCAGCTGAGGAAAATCCTAAAGACAAAACTCTAAGAAAAACAAACTAACCGGGTGCAGTGGTGTGGGCCTGCAGTTCCAGCTACTCAAGAGGCTGAAGTAAGACGATCGCTGGAGCCGAGGGGTTCTGGGCTGTACTGCGCTATGCTGATCAGGTGCCCGCACTAAGTTCGCCAACAACATGATGACCTCCCAGGTGGAAAATGGAGCAGGTGAAAACTCCCGTGCTGATCAGTAGTGGGATCGTGCCTGTGAGTAACTGCTGCACTCCAACCTGGGCAACATAGCAAGACCTCATCTCTAAAAAACAAACAAACAAACAAACAAAAATGATTTGGACAAATGTCAAGATAGAGAGAGTAAAAGAAGAAAGTATTGAAGACCCTTCAACATAAATTGGATCAGATAATAAAAATAATAGCAAAGTTCTTTTCATTTTGTATCCTTAATTCCTCACCATAATCTTAGGAAGTGAATGTATTAATTATCTTTTGCTATATAACAAATTACTCCCAAAACTTAGTGGCTTCAAACAACAAATATGATTTTACAATTTCTGTGGGTCAAGAATTTGGAAATAGTGGCTCTGGCTCAGGGTCTCATTTAAGGTGGTAGTCAGGATGCCAGCCAGGGCTGCAGGCATTAGAAGGGTCTGCTTCCTCAATGGCCCACTCACATGGCTGTTGGCTGAAGGCCTCACTTTCTCACCTCATGGGCCTCTTCATAGGACTGCCTGAGTGTCCTTACGGCATGGCAGCTGGCTTCCCCCAGAGTGAACATTCTGAGACAGAGAGTTAGAAGGTACAATGTCTTTTATGACTTCATCTCATATGTCACACGCTGTCACTTCCACTGTATCCTATTCACCAGAAGTGAGAGACTAAATTCACCAAACAGAAAAGTGAAGGAGAATGAGGTTTCAGTTTTTTTGGGGGGAGTTGAAGAACGTTTGGATATTTTGAACAACCACAATATAATTCTTCTTTTCACTGAAGCACAAAGAATTTAATTTGTCCAAGTGTACACAGTTAGCAGGCAACGTCTTTGAGAAAAAAATCCATATAGTCTGATACGAGCACCCAAACTCATAACCACAATGTGAATCTAACTGTTTTTCAATGAAAAAAGAAAGAAAGAGTGCCTTCAAATGTGGCATACGCATTCACATGGAGCTTTCATACTGCCAGTGATAGTACCATAGTTATCTGGAATTAGAAGTTCTAACTTATCTTGGCAAAACTGCAGACTTATGGCTGGGTAGAAGGTTGGAGGGATGTAAGGTCATTCTCAGGATCTCATCTGGGAGAAGAAAACAAAGTGGGGAAGTAGAAGACAAAATGTTTTTTTAGGTTGGAAAAGGACTGGGAGAATCAAGCATCTAAAATGGGCACAAAGAGTTACTTTATTTTATTAAAAAAAAAAGATGTTTGACTATTAATGCCTGAAAACAGCAGGTGATTATTAATGGGATGAAAAAGTTCATTAGATTCTCCAAATTAGTAAGGAAGGACTTGAAGACCAAATTGATACAAATTAAAAAAAAAAAAAGATGTCATAGAATAATCTAAATAATAAACAATAAATGAGACTGAAAAAATAAAATCAAGTATATCACTTGTTACACTAAATATTAATATACCAGATTCTCTCATTAAAAAACAGAGAAAGTCAAGTTAGATTAAATAAGAACAAAAAGCTACCTATGTACTATTTATAAGAAATATTCTTATAAACCAATTGACAATGAAAGATTAAAAATAAGAGATTTGAGGCAAGGCAAGCAAAAAGAAAGAAATATTAAACAAGGAGAAATTCAAGGTTATGGGCATTCCCTAAGGAAAAGGATGACATAGTGTTACAGTGGCAAAAGTTACGAAGCAGATGACATAAATCTATATGCACAAAAAGTATGGCCACAAAATACATTAATTGAAAATTACTACAAATATAAGGAGAGTTTGATTAAAATACTTATTACAAGGGATTTAACATATTATAAAAATTAGGCTGATGCGGTAAATTTAAATATAATCAAATATTCGGAAAATACAATAATACAACAAAGTTGATTACATATATTCATTTCCAGATAATATACTTAATGCCTATGAAATTGTTCTTAAAATCAATTATATATTTAAGCACGCGCGCGCACACACACACACACACACATCTTTTCTAAAAAATCGGGATTTAATAGCCATATTATCTGATCATAGGCTGCTGAAAATAAATGACTTAAGGGTGGCCTAAAGTTTAAGTACTTGCAAATTAAGAAACATCCTCTCCCATTCAAAGAGAAAATTACAACTAATGTTACTAATTTTCTAGGAAGCAATTCAAAGAACACTTAATCTAAAGCCCATGAGATGCAGATGAAACTGTGTTCAGGAAAGAATGCATAGCCTTAAATGCTTACACTGATAAAGTAAATGAAAGGAAAAAATAGTTTTTATCCTAAGAAATTAGGAAAAAAGCAAATAAAGTGAAATATACTACTAAGAAATAAAGGGAAACTTACTGAATTTAATGAAATAGAAAACAATAAAATACATTAGAAAGGATAAAAATACTTTAAAAAATCTGCTCTTTTAAAGAATCTGTAAAACAGAAAGCCTTATGATTCAGATTAAAGGAAAAAAGTGTGTGTTTGTGTATATGTATGTGTGTATTGTTAAGAAAGGAGATACAACTTCACAATCAGAGAAGTTTCAAAGAACTACCGTTATATGGCAATAAATTTGAAAACTGAGAGGACACAGAAGATTGTGTGACAAATTAGAAATTATGAAAATTGACCTTATTCTGAAGTAGAAAGCAGGTATAGATCAAGTTTCATGCAAGAGTTTGGAAAGATGATTAAAAATGTACCCTCTGAAAAGCAAGCTGGGTGTGGTGGCTCATGCCTGTAGCCCTAGCTACTTGGGTGGCTGAGGCAGAAAGATCACTTGAGCCCAGAAGTCCAGAAGTTCGAGGCTGCAGTGAGCTGTGATTGTGCCACTGCCTTCCAGAGAAGAAAGAAAGAAAGAGAGAGAGAGAGAGAGAGAGAGAGAGAGAGAGAAAGAAAGGAAAAGAAAAGAAAGAAGAAAGCAAAACAAAAGCACACCAGACCAGATTTCATAGCTGTATTCTGTCTATCCTTAAAGAATACATAATTCCACTTATATTTTAAATATTCTAGACGACAGAAGAAGGAGGAAAGTTCTTAGGAACAGATAAGAGAATTCAGAGAAACCAAGATTCAGTAGCCTACAAAGAATGAAAATATGCTCATAACAAGACAGCTTTTGAGATACTCATTTCAAAATTGCAAAAACTCCCCCATGCAATCTGAAAGAGGCTTTACTTTATTTAAGCCAAAGAAAAGTGCAGATCCTGAATATATTTATCTACAAACGGCTCATATTCTAAAGTAATGCTATTCAACCCTCATTCACTCAGGAGCAGTTCTGTAATTGTTCCAATATAAAGGAGCGAAAACAATTTCTTAATGGAAGTATTAAGTAGTGTTCTATGTTGTCAACTAATTTATTTCCCATTTCAGACGTTATTTGACGTGTTTTCATTTCTCTTTTGGAAGGAAACAACTAAATATGTTATCAATCCATCATTTACTTGTACAATAAATAAAGTTCTAAATCACTGCACAGTGTAAAACAGCAAAGAGACTTCCCCATAACACAATGTCGTCCTGAAAAGTTTTGTTTGTTTTAGAAGAAAAAAATTTTAAAACCTGAGCACTATAAGATATGAATTTTGTAAATAATTATGAAAAGAAAGCAACAATAACAAAACTCTACTAACCTTAGCTCAATCATAAAAAGTTCCATGATTCATCAAATTTTATTTCCAATTAAATATGTTATCACCCAGTAGTATGCCATACCAGTTTCTAATTCATACTTCAATTATCTTCTAATTTAAATTAATGACTATAGTAGCTGTTACAGAACAACAGCTCTATAGCTTGCCTTTCAGACCAGTAAATAAGAGTTTAAGGGCCTGTGATAGCAAATGCAGTTTCTTATTGGATTTAAAGAAGAATTTTTATAAAAATGTGTGAGGTTATTCAATAGAATCACATTTAATTTGCCAAGCATTTTGCAGAATGCCTAGGACTATGTAAGAAGTATTAAATTTGCAAGCCCTTTGAATAGTTGTAATTTAAAGACAAAAACTGGTTTAATACCAGACAAAGATAGCAGCACAAGTTAGGTTATTAGGGAATTTAGACAATACATCAGTTTGTATCGTAACTTGTTGGCAAGAACAACGTGTAGTTTTCTGTCACCTCCCAACTAGCTAGGTTTTGAGCAGCAGGAATACTTAACACCCTTTCTTCCCATTTTTCCTTTGTGTTGTTCAGATTCTGACAATTCTATTGCCAGATAGCTCAGGGCAAAAATGATAAAGTTCAAGTTCAGAAGGCTCTGCAGTGTTCTCAGTTCTCCTCTGGTGAAAGAGGAGAAAGGTTGTGTCTAATTACTAATTTGAGATTTCCAAAATTTTACCCATGCCATGCCTGCCCCCTCATTAGCATGAAGCTGTTATTTAAATAGTTCAGCAATAAGCACTTTAGTAGCCTCCCTAGGTTAAAAAGATTGAAATTAAATGTGTTTATCTATTGTTTTACTATTCAACTACCTGATTATAAAAACAAAGATTTTTTTCATGAAACTCAGTACTCCTTCAAGGAAAAAAAGAAAATTCCCTAAAACAAAGTTAGGAGAGTGAATCAGACCACATGCTTATCTCCAAGGTCTCAATCAACCAACAAATGCTTACCCAACTTCTATTCAAAATATTTGCTCCAGTAGTTCTGATATGACCCAAGCAGAGTTTACACATTATTAATGTACTCCTTTCAGTCTTCTAGATATGTTTCTTCCTAAATCTACCGGATTCTCAAATAACTTCAGGAACTTTCTCCAGAACAGAAACAAGGTTGTCGCTGACATCAACTTTGTCTCCAAATATGGGGAAGATTATCACTGGAAAGATCTACTGACAACCTATAATACATAGTTGGAACTGTTTATCCACAGAAGTATTCCCCAAGAATCAACCACAGAGCCAAGATGGAGCTTATCTCATTGCTATGCATACTTCTTTTATGGCTTGTGAAGTCAGTTCATATTATTCCGATTTTACAACTGAGACCTAATGAACCTGAGTGACTTGTTCATCATCACTAGGCTCCATTATGTCCAAAAAAAAAAAAAAAAAAAAAGAAGAAACTCAAATGTGAGGCTTTGCCTACACTGAGAAACAGTAGTTCAAGAAATGGTGCCCTGGTTCTGTTAAAATAATCTGAGAGTTATGTGGTAAGTACTTGAGGGTGAATAGGGTAGCTTGACAATAAATTTACACTCAAATATCTCCAAGGAATCAAACTTACAGATTAATAATTAGTAATCAGGTCTTGTAAAGTAAATTATGAAAGAGCATTGATACCAAGATTAGCAGAAAGTTTTTTGTGTGACAAAACCAAGTTTTGGCTAAGATACACACTGCTGATGGGAGTCTAAATTGCTATATATACCTGGAAAACAAGTTGTCTTTATCTTGATGTTATGAATGACCTATGACCCAGAAATTTAACTCCTAGACATATACCCTAGCGAAACTCTTGAACATGTGCATCCAAAGACATGTATAAATGTGATCACAGTAGTATTGCTTTTAGTAGCAAATTCTGGAAACATCCCAAATGTCTATCAATAGTAGAATTGATTTGAAAGGGATGTGGAATGGTAATACAATGGAATAGCATACAGCTGTTTAGATAAAGGAACTCCAATTAAACATATCAACAAAGATACATTTCAAAAACAAGATGTTGAAAGGAAAAAGGTAATCAAAACAATACACAACATTCTACCTCATTTTTATAAATTCTTAAAATATGCGATATTAAACATACATTATTTAGAGAGGCATTCATAAAAAGCAATGCATTTTTAAGAGGCTGGGATGATAAATGTAAAATTCAGAACAGGTATTACCTCTGGGAACAGGAAGAGGAAGATGCAGTGTTGGGAAGAAATACACATAAGTACAGCGGTAGAGGCAGACTTTTTTCCGTTTTCTTTTTCCTTTATTTTTCCTAGCTTTCTTTTTCTTTAGCTATTGTATGCTTTGTATTTTTTGTACTTTCCATATATCAGATAGTATATTTTGGAGTGCATGAGATAGTCCTTAATAACATTTTTATTATTTTTTATTTGACTTTTAAGTTCAGGGGTACATGTGCAGGTTTGTTATATAGGTAAACTTGTGTCATGGGGTTTTGTTGCACAGATTATTTTCTCACCCAGGTATTAAGATTAGGACCTATTATTTTTCCTGACCCTCTCCCTCCTCCCACTTTCCACCCTCTACCCTCCAATAGGCCCCAGTGTGTGCTGTTCCCCTCTATGTGTCCATGTGTTCTCATCACTTAGCTCTCACTCATAAGTGAGAATATGCAGTATTGGGTTTTGTGTTTCTGTGTTAGCTTGCCAAGGATAATTGCCTCCAGCTCCATATTCCTGCAAAAGACATAATTTTGTTCTTTTTTTTATGGCTGCATAGTATTCCATGGTGTATATGTACCACATTTTCTTCAGCCAGTCTATCACTGACGGGCATTTAGGTTGATTCCATGTCTTTGCTCTTAACATTTTTAAACGGTCTCTGAGTAGAATAGGGTAGGTTGGTGTAAGGAATTACTGTTTTTAATTGGAAGCAATTACATACTGCATTAAAAAGCATATATATATAGACACATATATATATGTTTTACATTCACATAATGAAACCAAAGCTTTCAGAATTTTCCGCCAAAAAGTATGTGTGGAGGGAGAGAGAGGGGTGTTACGGCGCATTTGTAAGCCCTGAAATAAAATGATCTCCATATTTGCTTCCATTTGTGTATAAATATTTTTTAAGCATATATGCATCCTAGAGTGTGGAAAGAAAATTTCTGGGAAGATTTACAAGAATCTGTGGCAGCTGAAAGTTCACTTTTAGCTTTATTGTGTAATTTATTGTATTTTTCATTTATTTGTACTTTGTAAACTATTTTATTGTATATTTGATTTCGTTTTTTAATTATCATATGCAGCTTTAATTTTATAACTAAATTACATTCTGACCCAGGGCAGGACGTAGGAGAAGAGGATGAGAGAAGTACGGAATCCTGAAGACCGCAGCATTCTGCGCTCCGCCCCTGGGATAGAGGGTTCCTGGAACGCCCAGCGCAGCTCCGCCGTCCAGCCTAGGCCGGCCACCTGGCGGCGAAATGAGGCGCGCGGAGCGGGGGCGGTGGCGGAGGCGGTGGCGGAGGCGGAGGCGGAGGCGGAGGCGGAGGCGGAGGCGGAGGCGGAGGCGGAGGCGAAGGCGAGCCCCGCCCCACCGCGCACGCTGTGGTTGCCCTGGCAGCCGCCCAGTGCGTGGCCGAAGCTCACAATCAGCCCTGTCCCTGCGGCTCCCACCCCGTCTCCTGCGCTCACCTGCTCGCGCGCTCGCCCTCTGGGGACCCGGGGCCCATGGACATACACACCCAGTCCTGCTGTCCCACGCGCCAGCTCTCCAGCCTTAACCAAAGGGACACAATTCACGCCTGGGCGCCTCCGCCGGCTCCGGGAGCCCAAGGTCGCGGCTGGGCCAGCGCTGACCATCAGAGGAAGAGAGCAGGAGGCTCCCCAGTCGCCCCAGCAGGCCCAGGCGCATAGGTGCCCAGAGATCCCTGGCTTCTGATCGCCCGGACGACTAAGAGGTGAGCGTGACACCTGGCCTTTGCTTTGACATTACATCTCTACCCGCTCCACTCCTCTCTTCTCCAGATTTTTCTGGGAACTAAAAAGTGGAAAGCACAGTAGAGAACCCCCAACATGTAAACTATCGCTTACACTGTGGGTGAGCTGAAACTCACAAAAGTTTGTTGTATTCATAAGGAGCCTACATTGAAGGACTTTGCTAAATATTTTACAAAGATTATATATCATTTCCTTTTCACACAACCCCATAAAGTGGGCACCATTGCTATTCCCAGTTCACAGATTCAGAAACTGAGGTACAAACTAGGTAGGTAGCCTGTCCATATTTATCCAACTAGTTTGTGTGAATAATGATACAGGGAAGGGAGGATCACAACAGATTTCCCCACCTCAAACCCTACACTCTCTCCACGGTACCAAGCTTGTCTTCATCCATTCCCCTTTCTAATGATCCTCCCTTGTCGCATAGCCCCTTTTGAGAGTTAGATGACCTGAACACACGCACATTCCCACAGATTTTCGGGTAATTTCCGAGTATTCAGACCCCGAACATGGACCTCAAGTCAAGACATTCTGCTCTATTCCACTACCTTGGTAGATGGTTAGATGTGTCTAAGGTGGCCCAGGGTCGTGCTGGCGAAAAGTGCAGGTATGCTTATATGTGGAGGATCCTATATGCTGCTCACTTTATAACGTAGGACCCAAGGGCTACACTTGTGTGATTTCCTCCAGTGGGGTGAGCTCTTGGTCAGTCTTAGCGGTTGATTGTAAAGTACATTACACAGGGTGCTGCCCTCTCCCCTAGCACTTCAGGGCTTTAGCTGGGAGGGAGGCAGTCCACAGGAAACTGACCCATGGAACCTATTGAATTCATCATTGTAGCTACTAATTAATTCTCCATTAGGGATGAATGCTAACAGCTGCAACGTTGAAGTCCCTGATTGGAAGTCCCTATTTTCACAAATCAAGGGGCATTGATTCAGTCCAATCATTACCTGTGTAGGAGCATCTCACCCTATTCCGTAGATGACACATATACATATGCAGTATGATGACACTGCACCTAATCGGAATATGACTGATAATAATAAAACAAGCCATAAATAGCAGCTGAGGTGAATGTCACCAAGCCGTGCAGCAAAGTCCAAGTGGATGACTCTGAGGCAGCCTCAGTTGGTTCCCTAGTCCACCACATGTTATAAACAGATTAAAAGGCAAAGGAGGCCTGGCCCGGTGGCTCACACCTGTCGTCCCAACACTTTGGGAGGCAGAGGCGGGTGGATTACCTGAGGTCAAGAGTTCGAGACCAGCCTGGCCAACATGGTGAAACCGTGTGCCTACTAAAAATACAAAAATTAGCCAGGCGTGGTGGTGGGCACCTGTAATCCCAACTACTCGGGAGGCTGAGGCAGGAGAATCGCTTGAACCCGGGAGGCAGAGGTTGCAGTGAGCTGAGATCACACCACTACACTCCAGCCTGGGTGACAGTGCACGAGTTGGGCTGAGGGTCGAGGGTCATGGGATAGGACGAGACACCAGGGAAGTGTGTGAGGTCAGAAAAGAGTCTTGAGGACCTAGCCCTGGGCACCCAACTTAGCCTTCTTGAAACAGGAGTCAGCAAAGGAGACTGAGAAGGAGTGGGCAGTGGTGTTAGATGGAAGCAGGCAATGGGGATGTTGCGGTGCCTAGAGAGACACGTTTTAAAGGAGAGAGCTGACTGCCATAGAGAATGTAGGTGAGGGAGCAGGCTTGTGATGGAGAAAAATGGTGCATAGTTTCAGCTTTTGTAGTAAGCTGGAATCTTTTCATTGCAAATTTTGGAAACCCAGCTAACTAGCTTATGCCAAAATAAGGTCGTGGGGGTAGACGATATATTTACACATAAAGTGGTAGATGGCTTCTGGCACCATGGAATCCATGTTGCAACTCATGCCATCAGTCTCAGTCTCTTTCCATCTTCCAAGCATGGACTCTCTCTGTGGCACCTAAGAGAGCTACCTGCAACCCCAGCCCCACACCATACTGCTTAACAACTTCAGCAGAGTAGTCTTCCCTCATAGTTCTGGATGATGGGCTGCTGATTGGTTGATGTCTTTCATGCACGTATGTTTGAGCTTCAGTGTACCCAGAAAGGGACGGTTCCCTCAAATGGGCCAAGCCTAGGCCACAGACCCTTTCCTCTGGCAGGGAACAGAAGGGACAGCCCCATCCAAGCAACCCGGATAGGATTCCCTATGTGATAATGGGATTCTTTTTTCATAAGAAATGAAGAAAGAAAACCAACTGGGCATACCTAGCATGGCCTGCTACTCAATCCAAATGATTATTTTACCTCCATGCAAGGAGGTAAAATTACATACTAGAATGCCCGTCACAATTTAACAGGGGGATTGTTTATGAAGATTTGCAGTTGCCTTGCGGCCATTTAACTAAGTCTTTTCCACTTAAGATGACATAGGAATCACTCATCACATCTTTGATATGTTACAGAGCCCAGTAGATTTCTGTGTATAATGAACACCTCAAAAGTATGCTTTTATAACACCTGAAAACTATTAAAACCTGTATGATCTCTATATTGTGCTGGTATGAAACCATGTAGCTAGATGGTGGGAACTCAAACCCTTACCATGGCAATTTAGTTAACCTCAGCTTCTTCATGGTAAAATGGGCAAGTGTGGTGAGGAGGGAAGGTTAAATGGATAATAAGAAAACCACCTGGCAAACTATTTTTAATTATGATGGAAGATTTGTTTTGAACTGTTTTAACTTTATGCCCACTGAATATTTTTGGTATTTATGTGTAAATCCTATTTTCTGAACATTTCATAAAAAACAATCTCTGTTCTTAAGGAAGGTCCGAAATATTGTTATTTAATCAAAATGAAAATTATAAAATTAACTTTGGGTTATTTTTCTTTTTTGTTGCTTCAGTTTTACTCTTGGTCCAGAAAGCATTTTCAAGGAGCTGGTCAAGCATGGCTTTAGTAGATAAGAGACTTGAGAACTTACAGATCTACAAAGTTCTTCAATGTGTGCGGAACAAAGACAAGAAGCAGATAGAGAAGCTGACCAAGCTTGGATACCCTGAACTAATCAATTATACAGACCCCATTAATGGACTTAGTGCTTTGCACTTAGCCTCAGTTTCCAATGATATTGATATGGTCAGCTTTCTCCTTGACCTTGGTGCTCACCCTGATGTGCAAGACCGAATGGGCTGTACTCCTACAATGAGGGCTGCAGAACTGGGCCATGAATTGTCAATGGAAATATTAGCAAAGGCAAAGGCTGATATGACTATAGTTGATAATGAAGGAAAAGGTAAAAATCCCAACATCCTCCCCAGCAGATTGCAACTTACTTTGTAGCCAGCAAGCAATAACATGGACTCTTTTTGTTTTCCAACTGTAGAAGTGAATTCCTTATGGTTTTAAGGGAAAGGCTAAATTCTCACCCCTATACCCAAACCTACTGTCTCCTCATAGAGCATTTCTTACTCTTTTTTTACATTTTAGAATTTCGGGCAGTACTACACCTAGGACTCCAAAAGGATTTTGACCCCCTCCATAGCAAGTCTGATGTAGGAAGGACTCGCACTTGGAAACTTGAAAGGACTAAAATCAATTCTGGCATAAACTCCAACTTTCTAGGATCGTTTAAAAATTTATTTGGAAATAAAACTTCAAACTTTAGACAATTATTCAGGTGAAAGAGCTGCACTTTCACACCTTTAATCCCATCATCTCAAGACAATGGTCTGAGAACTTCTTGCCCAAATAACTTAAGGTTCAGGCAAGAATTGACACAGCCTCATAAAAATAACTGAGATAATTACCGATAAGCTCAATGTAAACTGGTAGGTTTAAGCAGTTGTCCTGAGTCGCTGCAAATACAAAGTCATTAACACCAGCCCTGCAGTGCAGAAATGAATCTCATTTTATAATGTGAATATTTACTGACAAGAGCAAAATCTACTTTTCTAGCTCTCTCCAGACTTGGTGTTTGATATGATTACTTGCTTAGAAGAAAAGAGGACAAAGAAAAGGGATAATTACATATTTAATTGTACCATGTAACAAAATAAACTTCAGATGCATTCAGGGGCCAAATGTGTTTTGAAATGGTAAATCCTGAAAAAACAGTATCCTCTCAAAGCTCTATAGAATGCCATTCTACAGAGGGTGTTCCGTGGACCACTGAATTGCCAGGATGTTGAGAAGTACTACAGGCAAAATTGGTTTCACGGTCGCATTCATTAGAGACACATTTTAGACATGTATCTTTCGCATTGTTGGCTGAAAAATGGTGACATTTTCCATATTTATTTGACCACAAAATATATATATTTTTTAATGGCATCTTATATGCCTGGAGGTTTGTGGACTAACCTTTGGGAAACACTATAATAGAGAAAAGTTTAACTTACTGAGTTTGAAACAGAGATATAAATCGCAAAGAAAAAAGAAATTCTATAGCATAATAATGTAAAAGTGTTATTTATTTATTTATTTATTTAGAGACGGAGTCTTGCTCTGTCGCCCAGGCTGGAGCACAGTGGCACGATCTTGGCTCACTGCAAGCTCCGCCTCCCAGGTTCCCACCATTCTCCTGCCTCAGCCTCCTGAGTAGGTGGGACTACAGATGCCTGTCACCACGCCCAGCTAATTTTTTTGTATTTTTAGTAGAGACAGGGTTTCACTGTGTTAGCCAGGATGGTCTCCATCTCCTGACCTCGTGATCTGCCTGCCTCGGCCTCCCAAAGTGCTGGGATTACAGGCGTGAGCCACCACACCCAGCCAAGTGTAAATTTTTTTAAAAAAAATAAAGGTAAAATTGGAAACAAGGTCAAGTAAATATTTGCAGCAAATGCAACAGGCATATGGCTAAGGGAAACAAATCTCATGAGCAGAACTGAAACTATGAAAGGAAACATGTAAAATCTTGTTTCACACATAAGCTTGTTAGGATGCCTGCAGCCCTCACTCTGCGTGACCCAAGGTACTGCCCATTGTACAGAGTATATTGTCTCTTCCCCACATCAACAAGCCTCACTCACCTTGCACATCCCTCAGTTTGGCTGCCAGTGGCCAAACTGCTTTGCTTATTCTACAGTACCCTCTCTGTCATTGACGTCCTATTTTCCGGTGACTCATGTTTGACTCACTGTACATCATTTCTAAAGGAAAACTAAACATCTCAATGGCTAAGCGGGTCTTTAGGATGTGAGACATGCCCTAGGCCTAAGCTGCACTTTTTCTTTGAACAATTTTACAGAATATGGAGAAGGTAAAGCTCTACGCCAACATATTCTTTCTTGTATGTTGTCTTAGGGAATTAATTACAGCGTGGAATTATTCTCCTTAAAAGTTAAGCTATAATAGTTCCTTATAGCACCCATTTCCATTCCACTGGTTTTCTCATGTATAGGAATGTGTCCTCAGTCCTCAATGCAGTCTGCCAGTTCTATGATAAGGTACAATATTTTTCAAACTTGTTTTCCCTTCAGTTTAGGAATGCTGATTCATGTTCTTTGTGGCTTAAAGAGTCAGCCCAGGTACAGTTCAACTGTGTGTGGTACATGCCATTATTATGAAATGTTCATTTCATAAGTGGCTCTGGGCCTTTTGTAATGAATTCAGCCGCCTCGGGTATTATGCTTAGGTTGTTTTGTTGTTGCTGTTGTTGTTTTGGTCTGTTCTTACCTTCTATGTCTTGCTCTGTCTTTGACTTTCTCTTTTCAGTAATATCCTTGACCATCTTTTCTTTTTTTTTTTTTTAAACTGTTCTGAGTAACCCTATTTTAGGTACATCGGTTTATATAAAATATATTTAGGTTCTGATTTTCATATACATTTTATTTTTTATTTTAATGGTGGAATTTATCCAGTTTATAGTCATCTAGATTTACCATAGGTTTGGCTTCAGAAACATCATTTATTTTATATTGTGAAGGCGAAATATATCTAATATATAAAAATATGTGAAAGTATTGTCACATATGGTCCATATATTTGTTTTACTTTGCTGTATATGTGTGGTTTTCTTTATATGCTTATAAGTGTATTTTCTAAAACTGATGGGCTGTTTTTAGTTATTTTAACGGTTAACTTGATACTTCATATATCCTTAAACCTGTTTATTGAGTTAGCATCTTAAACAGTATTCACTGATTCTTTACTCTGATTAGTAAGATTAGGACAATAGTACAAATTAGATAAGATTAGTACAATAACCCTTCCTCTTACTTCTGCTACTTCCCTTCTACCACTCAATTTTATAGTCAATTATAATTACTTAGTTCTTTCAATGATTCCCTTTTAAATAATAAGTACCTTTTACTTTATCCCCTTACCCGCTTTAAATAATATGTCAGTCTTAGCCCTAAACGATGAGAAGATCAAACACTTATACTATTTCTCCTTCCTTCCCTTCCCTCCAAATTTTTGATAAATTATATTATTTTTACATTATTATGAATTGCAGTATATTTTTCTCTATCTAAAATTCCTAAGGTGACTTAGCTTTGGTTCTGCGGCTAAAGAGATCCAGTATTTATAACTGTTCTTTTAGTCACATATTCTCTATTGATCTGTTGGAAAACTCACTTTTGCCATCAAGTAGTTTAAGTCACTTCTTTGGGCTTATGTCCCTGACTACTTATATCCTTAAGACTATACATGTCTGTTGCTTTTATATGGACAAAGTCTTGATTGGGTATAAAAGTTCCCTGGTTTTTATCCCAAGTTACAGTGTAGAGATCCTTTAATTATACTGTAGCATTGAATGTTGTTGTGATAAGTTTTTGAGGGCAGCTGGACTTTTCCCCTTTATAGATTAGTTGAATTTTTGCCTGGATTCTCATGAGACACTTTCTTTGCCTAGCTTTACCTAGGCATACCTTGTTGACTGTTGTTAATCAACTTTTCCTGAGACCCAACGTACCCTTTTAATCTTACGATTCAGGTCTCTCTTTGCACTTTTATTTTAGAACAAGTTATATTTAGTTTCTTTGCTATCATGGAAATGAATTAGTAATTTTTCCTGATATATCTTTTCTAGTATGTACCCTTTTTGCTTGGCTTTCGTTATCAGGTTCTTTTTTCCTTGCAGTATTTTTTTTAATAGGTTGCATAGTAGTTTCTTTTTTGATTATTCTTTGAATGAAATCCCTTTTTGGAATGAACCCATTGCAAAGTCAGTTTGGAGTTTGATTGTTATTTACCTAGGACTTTCTTAGCAACACTCTGCCCTGAGTGTATAACAGTAACCCTGATGTGCAGTATGCTTTTGACATGGATTACATTGAGAGCCTGTATGTTACAGGTCCTGGGTGTAGGGATTTCACATTTTCCTTTCTCCAATAGAACAAAATGATTTGCTAAAACGGCAGAGCCACTTGCCATCTAATTTTTCATCTCTTTACTGCTATACCGACAGCCTGCTTCTTACAAACATGGCTAGTCTACACATTTCATCACCCAGTGCCATCTCTTTTGCCATTCTGCAATTTTAGAGGGGACCTGGGGGCTTACCAGTAGCCCTTTGGCACACATAGCTATAGCCCTGCTCATTCCAAGAAGGGACACTCAGGATACGTACTGCAAGATGCCAAATACTCAAGGTCAACAGGGTTCACCTGTCAGCACTCCAGTTCTTCCATAAGCCAGGTCCTATCACATGTGGTTGTGACAGTTTTCTAACTATGTCAGGAATTAAGATTTTTTGTTTTTGGTTTTCTGTCTTGGTGTTTTAGTTGGTTTCAGAGAGGAAACCAAGACAGCTATGCCTTTAACTAGCTAAATATGATTTTTAATAATTTTACTTTCCTTCCTGTCAAATATGTATAGATGTTAACTAAATACTCTCTGGGGATTTTATTTCTCTGCAGGTGTTTTGTTTTACTGCATTTTACCAACTAAGCGGCATTATCGCTGTGCTCTGATCGCCCTTGAACATGGTGCAGATGTCAACAATTCTACCTATGAAGGAAAGCCAATATTCCTTAGAGCTTGTGAAGATGCACATGATGTTAAAGATGTGTGCCTGGTATTTTTGGAAAAAGGAGCCAATCCCAATGCAATCAACTCAGTATGGCTATTCTTGTGATTACAAATATTTCTTGTTTCAATTACAGCATAGTATAATCTTTGCATTTAAATACGATGACATTATCCTGTTAGCTGATAGACTGTTCATTTTGATTCAAAATACTTGAAGATGCTATACTTTTATTATCTTCATATTGCTGTGATTCTGCTGTCTGTTTCCTAATTATGTTTGGAAATTTGGTATTTATTATGCATAATGTCAAGGTACCATTATAGGAAATAGTAAAAAATGCATTGCTGATGCCTAGTAGGATTTATCTTCTTAGAAAAAAAATATATAGTTCTGCCGTTTCTTTTCTTTTCCTTTTTTTTTTTTTTTTTGGAGACAGGGTCTTACTCTGTTGCCCAGGTTGGAGTGCAGTGGTCCAATCTGGCTCACTGCAACCTCTGCCTCCCAGGTTCAAGCAATTCTCCTGCCTCAGCCTCCTGAGTAGCTGGGATTACAGGTACACACGACCACGCCCTGCTAATTATTTTTTGTATTTTTAGTAGAGACAGGGTTTCACCATGTTGGCCAAGCTGATTTCGAATTCTTGGCCTCAAGTGATCTGCCTGCCTCTGCATTCCAAAGCCCTGGGATTACAGGCACGCCCAGCCTAGTTCTGTGGTTTCTTGTATCAATTTTGTTCGCTCTCCTTATTTGGCTAATTTTGAGTTTTCTTGTAATTGCCTTTTCTTGACACTAAACATTGATTTTCTTCTCATTAGAAAACACCTATGACCTAATTTTATATTAGGTATTGATATTTTATCTCTTTTTCTCCCCTTTTATTCTGCTTTATTTGCAAGAAATACATTTTTAGCATGATATTCTCACAGGGGCATGCAGTGTGGTCTTGACTTTGATTTTAGAATTCTACGTTTTGGGTACTGACCCATTGTACTTGCTTAATTTTTCCTCTTTGTTACATGAAACTAAGAAAAATGTAGAGAACTAAACTTGTAAGTGTAAGGCTAAGGTCAAATGGATTCAGGCTGTATTTGTACTGATTCTGCTATTTAATATGATGGACATAAACAGCATCTCATCCGTTTCATATCTAGTCCACAGGCCGCACAGCTTTAATGGAAGCGTCAAGAGAAGGAGTAGTGGAATTAGTTCGAGGCATACTGGAAAGAGGAGGTGAAGTGAATACATTTGACAACGACAGGCATCATGCTGCTCATTTTGCTGCTAAAGGAGGCTTTTTCGATGTAATAATCTATTCTTTGCTTTAAAATTTGTTGCTAAAACTTTTCTGTCCTTTTTCTCAAATTTTTTATATGTCATATAGATTACACTAAGGCAGACATTTTACTGAATTACCTATGTTGTTTTCATCTTGATTTCCCCAAATAATTCTAAAATTATATTTTTAAAGGCCTTTATCTCTTTAGTTTTATGTGTTTGCTAATTTATTTATTTAATGTTATTCATAATATTTTTCTGTACACTCGGTGATAACAATTTAAAACTTCTGCCAGCTGGGACTGCTGTATTTTATGCCTTCATTACATACTAGAATCTTCAAACTATGATGATCTAATTATGGGAGAACAATGCCCTCATATTCTTATCTCCGTGGTGTTTGTGTGTATTAGATAATGATATACCTCAATTTTAAACTCAGGTATTCTGATTACCTAAACATACAGCAAAGAATATCTCACTGATACAGTAACATTGCAGAAACAAAATAAAAATTAACACTATTTTTTAAAATTCTGAATTCCATCTGAAATTTCTTTACTCAATTTTCTTTGAGTTTTAACACAGTTATCTTCATTTATATCACTATTTTCCCTGCAATAAAAGTATACACAAAGATAGAAACCATATTTGGTAAAGAATTTTCCTCCTGGATGCTGTTTTCCATGCTCTGATACTTTCTTAAATTACCTACACTAACAAAAATGGTAGTGCCCCCTCTAAGTATAGAGTTTTCTATGCTCTAGATCAACGCCATTTAATAGAACTTCTGGTGCTGCTGGACATATTCTATTTTTGTGCTATACAACACAGTACAACACAATGGCCACGTGGCTTTTGAGTACTCTAAGTGTGGCTAGTGAAACAAACAAATGAAACTTAAATATATTCAGTTTAGTTCATTTCAATTTGGATTTTCAAAATCATACGTGGCTAATTGATAATGTACTGGATAGCGCCGGTCTAGCTGTCAGTCTTTAGTTAGTAGATGTACATTCCTATTCCTCCACAATATCCGCTATTTATTTTACAGATATTGAAGCTTCTTTTTGCCTACAATGGAGACGTGGGGCTGATTTCTTTAAGTGGGAACACACCACTTCATTACGCTGCCATGGGTGGTTTTGCAGATTGCTGTAAATATATAGCTCAGCGAGGTAAAATTGTCTAGCAATTTTGTGTTTAAAGTATTTTTGTTTTACCCAGGTCATAGATAAGCAGAGGATTTGGGCCTATAACTTGTCAGTGGCTTATTTTTTTCCTATAGCAAAACCTCACTCATATGTAGAAAGAAAATTGAAAATTATTTCTCTGTTAAATCATGAATCTGGTATTAACGACGAAAACCTGTTTCCCCAAAAATTTTAAGTTATTGTTAAAAACCTAAAGGGGATTGTTCCTGAACCAGCTAATTATTAAAATACAGTTGAGGGTAGGATATGGTGGCTCATGCCTGTAATCCCAGCACTTTGGGAGGCTGAGGCAGGTGGATCACTTGAGGTCAGGAGTTCAGGATCAGCCTGGTCAACAAGGCAAAACCCTGCCTCTACTTACAATGCGAAAAGAAAATTAGCCAGGCATGGTGATGGCGCCTGTAATCCCAGTTACTTGGGAGACTGAGACACAAGAATCACTTGAACCTGGGAGGCAAAGATTGTAGTGAACCAAGATCATGCCACTGCACTCCAGCCTGTGTCTCAAAAAACAACAACAAAAAACGTACAGTTGATTAAGTTTCTTATTTTAAAAATGCCAACATCAGTCTAAAAAAGGACACACACTGAAAACCATTTGCTTTCATTTGAATTTTTAATTAGTTTATTTTTAAAAATATTCCATGTGTCAAATGCAAAGATAATTTTTCTGGATAATTTGCAGTTATGGGGAAAATAATTTGGGGAAAAACATGAAATAAAAATTTTCGTGGAAAATTTGAAATGTAAGCAGAATTTTTAATTTTAGATTTTCCTGTAGCTTTTAAATACTAATTTAGAAATATGAACTATATCATATATAGCTTAATGAGTTTCTTAAAATGAAAATATTAGTTAATTATATTTAAGGATATGAATTAATTTTTGTTAATTACTTACTAATTAAACGCACATTAAAAGCTTTTTAACTCTGTTAGAACTGCATTTTGCAGAACTGTATATATTTTTTCTAGTTTATGAGATATAGGCAAAAACTTAAAGTCCAACAACTCTATAATAGAGCAAAGAAAGTGTTTTATTTTTCTGTCTTCCACATAGACACAAAATTTTAGAAGTCACTAAAATTATAGATAAAACTAACATGCCCACATAACTATAATAGCATAATAACTATCCATTTTTACTTGTATAAATGTATACTTTCCCTATGTCCCCAGTGTGATAAACCCTTTTAGCAAATGAGGAAAAAATATATCAAATGCAATTTTGGTTCTCTAAAACTGTCTTAATTGTTTGAGAGATCTGTCTCTATTAGTAGTTTATTCTGACATTTCAGACAGCCCAGGCTGGAGTGCAGTGGCCGGATCTCGGCTCACTGCAAGCTCCGCCTCCCGGGTTCACGCCATTCTCCTGCCTCAGCCTCTCGAGTAGCTGGGACTACAGGCGCCCGCCACCTCGCCCGGCTAGTTTTTTTGTATTTTTTAGTAGAGTCGGGGTTTCACCATGTTAGCCAGGATGGTCTCGATCTCCTGACCTCGTGATCCGCCCGTCTCGGCCTCCCAAAGTGCCAGGATTACAGGTTTGAGCCACCGCGCCCGGCCAACATTATGTATTTCTAAAAACTAAAGATCCACTCAGGTTGAGACAAATTTCTTTAACTTTAATATGTTGACTTATTTCTTATTGGGACAAATATCACACATACTCTATCATTTATGTATTCCTGGAATAAAGTCACAGAAAGTACGTTGAGAAACCAAGGACCAGAGCCTGGGTCATGCAAAAAGGCCTAATTCAGTGATGCAGAAAAGATCCATTTTCCTAGAAGAATCAATCATAAGGTTATTTTAAAGCTAATATTTGAAAATGTTCTGAGTTCTGTGTGTGTTCGGAAATATAAACACGTCACCAGATCCTATGTGGGTGACCCAGTTTCGCAGCAGAAGTGTTGTCAGTTACATTTCCACCTTTAGAATCTTACATCTCAGGCAATCAGAGCAGCAAGAAACCCTTAGCGATCAAATGCTTGTTTCTGAATAAGCTCCCTGGGTTTAGTGTCTTCTGTACTTAATTGTAAAGCATTTGTGCTGGCTGGATACATTTCTCACATTTCCTCATGATGGTCCTCTTTCGTCCCCTCCTCCCCCTGCTGGGGCAATTGACAACTCCCTGTAAGCATGTGAGAGCCACATCCAAGGGCAGAGGAAAGGAGCTCAGGGAGTCCTCCTCCTCCTCTTCCTGGGCCCTCAACTCCCTGATTCTGCAGCACCAGCCAGCTGGAAGTTGAACATCTTTACCACAGAGGAGCATAAATCTCACAGGGAATGAACAGATCTTTATTTACTAATCATAAAGGAGGAGACAGAGAGCTCCAAGTCAAAAGGACAGGAAAACTGCCTTTAGCTCTTTTAAGTGGGGTGTTGGAGTCTTTTATACACATGGAAGTTTCTAACTAGGATTAAGCTGGAAGCTGCAGAGGGTAAGCTAAAACAGGATGAAAATTCTTTGGTCCTTAGTGCTGGGTGAACACAGAAGAAGTGGCTTGAGAGGTGGGATCAAACCCCCCCTGACACCCTGAGTATGCAAAATAAATAGCTAAATAAAAACAGCATATCAGAATTAGTATGGAATTGCACTATGGAATTACTATGTTATGGAATTACACTATAGAGTCACTGTTCTTATAACTATCCAATATAGAAATTGTGGAACCTTTATTATCCCAATAGCCTTTTTTAGTTTTTCTACTACTGGTAAAATTACCAGTCTTAGTATAAAAAGTGTGTGTGTGTGTATTAAAATAGATTTATGTGTGTGTGTAGTAAAATAGATTTGTTTTCCTTTTTTAATTTTTATTTTTTTGATAGAAGTGTATATATTTGTAGAGTATGTTAAATGTTTTGATATAGGCATACAATACTTAATAATCACATCCTCTAGAATGGGGTAAGCATCCCCTCAAGCATTTATTCTTTGTGTTACAAATAATCCAATTACACTCTTTTAGCTATTTAAAAACGTACAATTATTATTGATTATAGTCACCCTGTTGTGCTATTAAATAGTAGGTCTTATTCATTGTTTCTATTTTTTTACCCATCGTGTAAAATTTTAATTTTTGACAATACTAAGGAAAGTATTAATCTTGAAAAACATTGTCTGACTGCTTCTTCCAAGTCTTACTTATACATACACTTATTATAGACAACACAGTCTTTTTGGTAGCACTAAATGGATTCCCTAACATGTTCAGAAAAGTTTCTTTCTTTGGTGAATATTTACAATTAATGTTGGTCTCATCATTTTGTTAAATAAGGACCAAAAAGGAAAATGAATTTTAATATCTAACTTGCACATAAATATAATGCTGAACTCCTCAGATTTAATTACAAATTACTTTTTCCTCTGTGAAGGTTGTCCACATGGCCATACCACAAAACAGCAGATTACTATAAATGACATTATTTAATGAAGAATACGGAAAAAAAATAGACTTTAAGATTATACACAGATTTATAGTTTAAATCATTCAAAAGGAAGCAGGTATTCTGCTGCTTTTCAGGTTCAGATCTGAGTTCATAAGGTCCTAGGTAAGCTGTTTGAATCCAGCTTCTTTCCAAATTCAAATGTGTCCTTGCTCTTTTCCTGTTGGCCTGAAGTCCCCTGAGCAAGTGTACCAATATGGTATGTGTTTCAAATATCTCTAGGGATCAATGTTCTAATCCTATTGTAAATTGTAAACTTATCTGCTTCAGAATTCACCAAAGTGATGCTCACAGAAACAAAAAAAAAAATCACAGCTCAATTTTGTAATTATAACAGCAAAATGTGCACATCTCTATATACATATAATTTGCGGACACTTTTTTTTTTTTTTTTTTACTAATCATGAGAAATTAAGAGAACAGTTGGATGAATGTCACTTATTAGCCATGCAAATGCCTTGGCACCATTCGTAATTATGATGCTTTATGTTTTAGGATGTGACCTGAAATGGAAGAATTTAGATCATAAAACGCCCAGGGCTGTGGCTAAGGAAGGCGGCTTCAAAGCAGCAAGCAAAGAAATACGCCGAGCAGAGAGAATCGCCAATAGACTAGCCAGGCCGGGAGCCAAAAATCCAAATCCTCTGTGGGCCCTTAGACTGCACGATTGGTCCGTAGAACGTGAGGCTTTCCTCCGGGAAGCCTTTTCGGTTTTAGACAGGGGTGATGGGACCATCAGCAAGAATGACTTCGTGATGGTGTTGGAGGAAAGGCAAGAGTATGCGAGCTCAGAACAGCTGACTGCCATCGCTCAACTTCATGAGAAAACTCGGGGAGGAGGGGTCAATATTAATGAATTCTTTAAAGGAACCAGATATTTAAACAAGTCTTTTGTATTAGGATCTTATGGACCTAAGAAAAAGAAAAAAGGGATGGGTAAAAAAGGAAAGAGAGGGAAATTTGTCTTACCCCTTCCAATTTGCGTCATTCCTGAGTACGTGTTTCCACGCCGGCAGGATGGTGGGCCACCGTATTACATGATTGAGACCTACAGGAATGTCACTGATAGCAGCCGGTTTAACAGAGATCATCCCCCAGAACATCCCATTCAAGATGACTCTGCTTGGTACATTGATGATTCAGAGAAAGTATTTTCAAACATTAATATTATCACCAAAGCAGGGGATCTGGCTTCTCTGAAAAAGGCCTTTGAGTCAGGAATACCTGTGGATATGAAGGATAATTATTACAAAACTCCGCTAATGACAGCGTGTGCAAGTGGAAACATAGATGCGGTCAAGTTTCTTCTTGAAAAAGGGTATGTGTCTCAGTCGCGTGTGGCTTAAATTTTCATGAGTCTTCACATTTCAAGGAAGTGAAGGGACGACAGAATTTTGTAATATAGAAAAGTGCTACTTTATTAAAGTCTCTAATAAGTTAAGGCTTTAATGTATAAAAACCTTTTATTAACACTTAATAAATTATTATAGGCTTCATTAAAGAATGTTATTAATATATGCTTTATTAAAAATGCTGATTTATTATATGCTTTATTAAAGTCTATAAAATGCCCTATAAAAGGTATGTGTTCATATTATTGACGGCTAGGGTTAGAAAAGGAGAATTTATGTTAGATTTATGTTATGTTAGATTCCTAGCCCCTTTATTAAAGCCTGTAATAGATTAATTAAGCCTATAGATTTTATATGGGAAGCCAGGATAATGGGAGCATAGGATTGTGTGTGCACAAAGATATTTTGCCAATAGCAATTATGCATGAAGTGAAGGCCAGTAAGTGTTTACTTGGGGTAAACAGAGTCTTCTGATTGTTACTGGCCTTCTGTCAGTGGCAGCACAGCTCAGTCCTGTCTCACAGTCTCACCTAGATGGTGTAGAGTCACTTTTTAATCTGCCTCTATTTGAGGATCTCGACAACTTCAAACAAGTGGAATGGTGGCTATAACAACATGTTTTGGTCCCCAAACCTGCTCCCCTCCTCCAGTGTGGGGCAGCCTTTTCCTTGGTCATGTAAATATCTTTAAAATATCAAATCATGACATTTTTATAATACTTAACTTTTTAGACTACAACAGTCACTTAGGTTTAATTCCTTCTTCTACCATAGTTGTGTAACCTGGGTGAGTTTCTTAATATTTTTGTGCCTCAGTTCTATCATGTGCGTAATGAGACTGTAGTGGAACTCATGCCACAAGATTAGTTGAAGATTAAATGAGTTCAAATATGTAAAGCTCTTGTTAACACAGTAATTTCATACTTGAGAAATAAAGTACTAATCTTATTAGTACTTTAATGTTAAAGAAAGATTCAAATTTGTATATTACCAAGAGAGCAACTAATGAGAATATGAACTTCTGGACAGTGAATTTCTAAAAAGGACTAAAATTTTAAATAATACATGGTAATATTTAGAATTTTAATAATGAAGTTTCATTTAAAAATGTATTACATGCAGAGAAAGTAGTCACAAAATGAAATAATATAACTTTTATATGTCCTGTCAGCTTTTATCTTCATTGGATCTAGTTTTATAATTTTCCTTGATTTTAACCTTTGCAAAATCGTAATCCCTAGAATCTAAAGTGCCTTTTAATGTAGATATACACAAAGAAAGTTAAGACTGCCAAATAATGCAGAACAAAGAGGTTTGAAGAAAAATTATGGCACAGAGTTTACAATTTAGCAACTTGATAGAACTCTATGAAATTTTACTTTACATTTTTAGTGTCCAGTCATTGGAAAACCAGTATTTTTAGCTTGTTCATCTATCTTATTTTACAGAGCTAACGTTAATGCAACAGATAATTTTCTGTGGACTCCACTTCATTTTGCATGCCATGCAGGCCAACAAGACATTGTTGAGCTTCTTGTTGAATCTGGAGCTTTCATAGACGCAGTTTCAATCAACAACTCAACTCCTTTAAATAGAGCCATTGAAAGCTGCAGACTGGATACTGTAAAATACCTACTTGATATTGGTGCTAAATTCCAGCTGGAAAATAGAAAAGGTATGTGTTCATTTTATTGATGATTAGCGTTAGAAAAGGAGAATTTGTGTTAGATCCTAAGCCCCTTCTGATTCTATTCTCGTAGGCTTGCATTGTCCACTGTGTTCCTGGTGCAAATACAAGCCTGAGTTAAATGTTATGGAAGTTTGTCTTATACCAAGTGCTTCTCCACTCATTGGTGTTGGAGGGCCAATTCTTTATGTTTGCAATCTTTCACGGACTGAAATACTTTTGTAAAACATAATAAAAATTATTTATTAGAAAAATAAAATGAAAAAAAATGGAAGGCCAAACCTTTGTTTTTAATATTTAAATTTTAATGACAGAAAATTACATTAAGTTGCTATAAACATTTGTAAACACTTAGTTTCTGTAGTTACTTCATTATGGATCAGTAACTATTAGTTTGTGGACTTGCACCAGTTTGCAGATGACACACTGAGTTATTACACTGTTATGGCTGTTAATTACTAACAATTACATACTCTATAGACTTTGGATTTCTCTTAAAGCTGGACAAAGTAATTCCTGAATTGAGGCTTCCCTGACTCTAGGAAGTAAACACACGGCCTACCTTGTATCGTAAATACCACACAGGAAAAAATTAAAAAATCATTTGAATATATTTGAGCTCCTTGTTTGGAAGTATCATTTTCCTACCTTGGAAACCACTGCTTCCTTTGACTGAGTGAGCATCGTACCTCTGGTTGGTTCAGGCTGCCTCTAAGTCACAGGTACTACTGCACCTGTCCTGCCTGATGATATTGTAGGTAACATATCGCCCAGCCATCTGCCTGGAGCACCTGTGGCCCCCAGACCTTTTGGAATTTCCCTCCTTACATCAAGGAAAGGGGAAGATAATGTAAAATTATCTATCACATACAAGGAAATTTGCACAATGTGGGGAGAAAACAATCAGTTTGATATTTAAAATGTAATATAATATTTCCTATCACTCTTTAAGAAACATAGTAAAAAAAAAAAAACTAAGGAAAAAATAATTTTATGTATTTAGATGGCGCTATAAATCATGGGATTTTAAAGCTAGGACCACCATAGAGAATATCTGATCTAGCTCTGTGAACTTCCCTTGTATATATACAACTTGCTTTAGGAATCACCCTTATTAGGGCAGGCTTAGAGCTGATGTGCTGAGATATTTTTCTACATGGTTAATCATTAATATGTTTATAGTCACTCTGAATTTATGTTTATGTTTCAACAGGGCATACTGCCATGGACGTTGCAAAGGCATATGCTGATTATAGAATAATTGGTATGATTAAAGAAAAGCTAGATAACTTGCCAAAACCAGCAGAAAATCAAAAACTAAAAGGCAAGACACCTCCTATACTGAAGACTGAAGGCCCTGAAATTAAGAAAGAAGAGGTAAGAAAAAAGGTTGACTACCCATTAGTAACTGGAACTCTTTAAAAATCTGTTTTGGGGAAGGCAGAAGCACTATTTACATACTGTTATACAACATGGGCAAGATAATATGCAGTGCATATTTTCAATACCATTATTATATAGTACTTTTAAAGAAATATATAATAAAATTATTATCACTGAAGAGCCTAAAAAGTACTCACTGCAAAGAAAATTCATACAAAAACCAAATGGGTTCAGCCAAATACAATTGGAATGTTGAAAAAGAAAAGCAAAACTGGTATTGGATTTGTATATATTTGGTCCTGAATTATACAGATTTGATGAGATGGTCCAAATAGGGAAGGAGGCTAACCGTTATGAGGAATGAAGTAAAGCATGATTTTTCTTCATTTTGGTCTCATTGCCACCATATCCCCTTTCATTGCCCACCATATCCCCTTCCTCCCACCTGCCACCTCCACCAAGGAATTTTAATGAATACCACTGAATTCTGGGATGTGGAGCCATTGCCACTAGAATATCCCACAAAATGATTGTAGAAGGTTTTCAGCATTTCTGGTAATTGGGAGTGATTTGGAACGTCTAAAGTGCAGCAGAAGGTTGAAGTTATTACCCATATGAGTTACTGAGACATCAAGACTTTACCATTAGCAGGAAACCCCTAAGTGTGTCTCTAGGTTGGAAGCTTTTTTTAAGGAAGCAGATTTACTGGAGACACAGGACAAGAGATGAAAGTCAAGAAGGAAAAGTTTTAGTGTAATCAAATTGGAAAGGGTTGGGGAAATGTAGGTGGTAGGGAGTAGATAGGATGAAGGGATTATAGACAGACAGCAGAATTATAAACATGGAGGATGTTAGGATGGCAAAAGGTGAAGGAGGATCAGTCAACTAAAATTCTTCCATTATCATTTTAGTAGGCCACAGATCAAGGATGGGTATCTCGAAGACTTATGTGATCATCTACCAATACTTCTAATTAAAGTTAAACAAGGCAAACTATCTCTCCCCATCCCCAAAGTTATAATAATATACTATTTTATCTCAAGTTATAGTTGCACAGTAGCATTTTTAGTTTTTTTCTGGCTTCAGAGTAAGATATGAAACAGCAAATAATGTTAGAAAGTCAATATAGATTTTTACAATTTATAATTTTTTTGGCCTTGTTTCCAGGAACCACTGTCATCAATTTATGGTGTACCAACCACATCGAAGGGAAAGAAAGTACGGAAGGATAATGTGGTTCATCTCAATTCATTGATTACCAGTGGTTATACTAAGAAAGTGGATATCACATTTATTCCACGGAGGGTAAGTGCTTTGAAAAGATCTTCATAGCGTGGTAGAAGCTCATAATGTCATTTTTTCAAAAGCTTTTTATGTAGAATATTCAAACAAATCTGCACAGTTTATCTTTCATAGTTACTATTTGTGAATGTTCTTTTGCCAGGTTCTGCTACTTTCAACTCAGTATGCCCAACTAATAGCTCCCAGCATCTGGTTCTCTTGCTATTACTATTTCTGTATTGAGATTTACATTTTTCTTGAAAGGTTGAAGTCTTTCTGAATCAATGGCATGTTCTGCAGCTGTTTAATCTCTAACTCCTAAGGATACTTTTTTTTTTTTTTTTTGATACTTCTCAGACCCAACCCTTCTTTGTACTTACTACTATCAGCTCATGCAGGAGTTTCGTATAAATCAAGACTGGATTTATTCAGTAGCCTCCGAAAATGTCCACAACTAAAGAGGTGGAGACATATTCTGGAGAAAGGAGCTGTCTTTCCATTGGCTGTCCAACCAGGCTGAGCAAGCAGCTCCCCTCGCCTTCTATTATAAAAATAATTTTGACTTCTACATGAGACATATAAGTAGTAAACCTCAATGATCTTCTAATTTCTTTGCTTCCCTGTTTTGGCATCCTGAAAAACGAACAGCAGCTGGTCTGAGAATAACTGGCCAGAGAAGTAACTGAAGAACATTTCCGACATTAGTTGTCTAGACAGTCATCATCAAAAACAGTGATGCTCATGTAACCATTACTGTCATATGGGGGGGGAAGAAGTTAAAACACATCTAAAAGTAAATTTAATAGTTTTAAGTTAAAACTATAAACAAGCTTTTAAGTTAAAACTGTGTATTGAAAATTGTCTGGATATTAGCATATTTACTGGCTGTCATACTCATACCTGCTTGGGCATGGCTATTTTTCTTTTTAAGATTTGGAGTCCTGAAGCCACAACAGCAGAGCTGATCAGGAAGAGGGAACTACGGCGAGAGAGGTTTACACATGAGGTGGACTTCGAAGATTTTATGATGCCTTTTCAGAAGAACATCACAGAGAAAGCTCGAGCACTGGAAGCTGCCTTGAAGACCTAAGTTATAGCAGTTACTTCTTGGGGTAAATGCTTTGAGGCCCAGGGACCAATCTTTGAAGAAAGTAGATATTTCCATCAAAGCCAAAGCAATCCATACACCAAGAACTTCTTACCAAATGTTTCGTTTTGCTTTAACAACTATAAATATTCTGAGCTGTCTAGAGAAAAGATGTATGTGATTTTGAAATGAATGGTATGTCATTCTGGATAAATCCCCAAGTCCCTTTATGAATGTAGTGAAGTACATGGCATGTGGGTTATAAACATTGCTGTCAAAAGATTTACCAGGTCTGCATCATCATGCTTATTATTTTTTTAATTGTCTCTTTTTTTCATTAAATAGAGACAGAGTCTCACTATATTGCCCCAGCTGGTCTCAAACTCTTGAGTTCAAGCAATCCTCCCAACTTGGCTGTCCAAAGTGCTGGGATTATAGGCATGAGCTACTGTACTCAGCCTGTTTATTGAAGATACTTTTCTAGTGGAAATTGATGAAAACAATTTAGGTTTTGGAAAAAGAAGTAATATTTAATCTTTTAAGGAAGGAGCTTATTTCTCACATGCCATTATAAACTGTGTGCATTAGATACCTTGGGTTGAATACACTTTTAACAGCCCTAGCTGTTAAAAACCCTAACCCTAGATATATAGGCCTAGCCCTAAATAGATAGCTATTCGGTTGGTGCAAAAGTAATTGAGGTTTTTGCCATGACCTTTAATTGCGGCAAAAACTGCAGTTACTTTTGCTCCAACCTGATAGCTAGGTAGCTAGCTAGCTAGAAAGACAGATAGACAGATATATAGATGATTGATAGATAGATAGATAGATAGATAGATAGATAGATAGATAGATAGATAGATAAGATTTATTGCAAATAATTGGTTTACATAATTTTGGGCACCAGATGGTCAAGTGCTAAATTTATAGGGTAGGCTATCAGGAAGTGCAGGCTTGAAACATGCAGGAGCTGTCCCTGAAGTCTACAAGTGGAATTTCTTCTTCATCATGCAAACCTCAGTTTTGTTCATATACCTAAATACTTCAGTATGTCTTTCCTAACATAAAAGGCATCCATTTACCTAACCAGATTACAATTGTCAAAATTTCAACTGTTGTTAAAGTGACTGATGGGATCAGGTTCACCTAGATTATCTAAGACAATCTCCTTTACATGAAGTCAATGAATTGTAAAAGTTGCTTGCATGTACACAATTCCTTCACCACAACACCTAAGATTAGTATTTGATTGAGTTACTGGGTGCTATAACCTAGCCAAGTTGAGACATAAAACTGACCATGTCTGGAGGTGTACTCTGGAGCAAAAACCTAGCTGAGGCGTTACTCACACCAGGAAATGCAGTGGGTACTGAACAGGAGCTCCAAAAATATCCAATGTCTCATTGACAGAAAGAAACCACTTTAGAATCTGCCTTACCAGAAGGCACCAACACCAGATTACAGCTCTATCAGTCACATATGGATTAAACGCCTTTCCTCTAACCTCCTCCCTCTCTTTCCAACCTTGGAGAGGGACCTTTCACAGGAGCCAGTCGGGGAGGAGAAGGGAAGAGAGAGAGTGAAGCGTGTAACCAGGCCCACCCCTCTGAAGGAGACAGACCTGAACAGGAGTTGCTTACAAGCGTTGTCATTTGGAGCCCAGAGATTTGCTATTACAACTAAATTTTGTCTGTTTTGTAAGGTTTTGGTTTGGTTTTTTGTTCTCTCTTTTCTTTTTGTTTTGACATAATTTCATATTTATGGAAAAGTTGCAATAATTGACAAAGAATTCTTATATGCCCTTTACCCAGATTACCTAAACGTTAACCACTTACCACATTTGCTTTATCTCTTTCTCCCTCTACATACGTGTGTGTATGTTTCATTTTTTTCTCGAACTATTTATGTGTCAGTTGAAGACATGATAAAGATATGACGTTCTTTACATGATGTATTTGTATTTGTGTGTCAGTTGAAGACATGATGTTTTAAATATTTCATTGTGTATTTCCTGAAATCACGATCTTCTTTTGCATAACAATATTATCATTGGCAAAATAAGGAAATTAACACTTAAATGAACTATTTCATCTATAGACCTCATTCAGATTTTGCTATTTATCTCAGATTTTGCTTACTTATACTTTCCTTTGCACTCCCAGGTAATGAAATACATTCGCTTGTCCCATCTCTTTGGTCTCTTTTAGTTTAGAACAGCCTGTTTTTGTTTGTTGTTTGCTTGTTTGTTTATGACAGTATATAAGAAGAACACAAGGCCGTTATCTTGTAAAATGTCTCTCAACTTTGGTTTGTCTTATATGTCTTCAAGAATAGATTCAGGTGATGCTTTTGAGGCAGCAGTGCTGCAGACATCATTGCACCCTTCTCAGTACATCATATCAGGAGGCACGTGATGTTGATACACGACGTAAACTTTAACTGCATTTGCAGTTGAGAGAAATGTCAATAAAAGTAAAGCTGCAGTAATAAATCATAACTGCATAAAATTAACTGTAGTACATACTGTACAACTGTAATAATTTCATAGTCACCTCTTGTTGCTATTGTGTTGAGTTCAATTGTTGCCTTTTCTCACGCTTACTTTATTGTAAGAATACAGTATTTTGTAACATACAAAATACATGTTAGTTGACTGATTATGCTATGGGTAAGGCTTTTGGTCAGTAGTAAGCTGTTAGTATCTAAGTTTTTGAGGAGGCAAAACTTATACATGGATTTTTTACTTCAAGGAGAGTTGGTGCCAGTAACTCTCTAGTAGTTTTCCTTGTACTTAATGAATATCTGATGGACAGATACTTTGAAACTATGGAAATTTCCTTCTACTTTCACACTTTCACCTACTAATTTTAGCGTCCATGGATGATTCTTGCCTGAAATAATTATCACAGTGACAGTTGCCATAAAATAACTTCTACATTTTATCATTCTTTCCATTTCTTACTTGGCCTTTTGCTGTTGGGCAGAGCTTTCTTTTCTTCCTTATTAATTTATGTACTCAAATCGGTATAGACTCATGCATTCCTTTTTTATTTAACGGAATTATATATGTGTGGGGACCAACTCAGAACTCCAGAGTTGGTATAAAGATTATTTCAAGCCAAAGACATTTGAGATTTAACATACCATATGCAGAGGGAAAAAAAAAAAAAAAACTTCTCAGACCTTTGCTTATCTGACTACAAGCAGTAACTTCTAGGAAATAAGGCTGCCATAAATTCCTCTTCAGGTTTGATCTACTTCTAGAACACAAGTAATCCTACCCCAAATCCCTTCTCCAGAAGTGTTTTATGGCCCCGAAGGAAATTTAAGGACCATTTATACCTGCATAGATAAACATTATCACATAATTTTTTATCTTCTGTTCACCTGAAAACTCATGTATCTTTTTAAAAAGTCATTGTTCTTACATAAATGTCTCCTCCCCCTCCCCTTTGCGTATCAAGATGATTATAAGCCACCAATTTTAACTATCCCTTTGAGTTACTCATCACTGAGTTCTCCCAAGTGTATATGCCTTGCATGCATAAACTTTTTTTCTCCTGTTAAAATGCCTTTTGTCAGTTTAATTCACAGGCTCCAGGCATTGAACCTAAGAAGGTAGAGGAAAATTTAATCCTCCCCTATGTGATCCTTTACTCTCATTATTAATTTTCATGCTCAAATTGTCCCTGATTTAACTAGTGGAAAACCCTTCAAGTTGGCTCCTGATAAAAATACATTTTGTTTTCTAAAACAGAGGACTCTTTATTTCTTGAATGTGAGGGAAAATGCCCGCCTTTAGCTTTGTTCAGGAACAGGGAAAATGAATTTGCAACTGCAGATTTTCAGAGGCGATAACTTTCTGTTTTCACTCTAGTGAGTACAACATTTTTAAAATGTCAGTTTGATATATAGTGGTGTCCTGGGATCACCTTCAGCCACTTGCAAATATAAACTGAGAGTAAGCATTAATGTTAGGTCCTATTAACTCTCTTTCCCCACATACGGAGTGTTTGTATTCATTTTAATGGCTCAACATGTTTAAAGAGGAATTGTGTGAGGGGAACAGTCACACAATTAACTGAGTTTATTTGGAGTTTAATGCTAAACCCAAACATAGCAGAGTCACAGTTCTAACAATGGCCCATAAGAACATCAGTGCTATTCAAAGAGTGGTCCATGGGCCAGCAGCATCGGCATCACAGGGAGCTTGCTCCCGCTATCTGCTGCCCAAAATTATAGTACTGAAGTCCATATGAGCGTAACGAAAATTTTGTAGAGTAAATCTTACTGGCATAAAAAGACTGTAAATGTTGCATGAAAAGTACCTACATTATAAGTAGTATAATATCAGACTTGCAAATGTGCAACATGTACATAAATAGTAATTTTGCTGGGTCTTTATGAGTTATCTGACCTTTATTGTTTTATTTTGGCTTACCTGTATTTTCTGGTTTTTTTTTTTCCCCAATGTACACGTATTACTTTGGAATTAACAATTTTTTTAAAAAAAAGAAAGAACAGAAGTTAACACCAAAGTCCATAATACCAAAGTGAGTTTCTTAGTATTTGCCTCTTTTATGCCTTTTTGTGCATTGCATTAAGATTCTCTCAGAAGACACGGAGCCAAGAATTCAGGAGCAAATAATGTGTGAAGGAAGGGCTCCCAGGGGAGAGCAGTGTGGTGTGAGGGGTATGAAACAGGACAGGGAAATGAAAGGAGACAAACAAGGGTGCGCTTTCAGATGAAGCCACAGCTTCTGAGTAGCCTGTGGGGAGCTGTAGCACACAGGCAAGGAGCTGGGCTTCCGGGTTCCTGTATCAGCCAGTAGCTGCAGGCTTGAGGGTGTACAGGCGAGGCTGTTCCAGTGCTCGAGGGCAAGTCTGCAAAGGTCATGGTGGAACTATTGGCTAGAAAGCATGCAGAAGCTGTAACTGTGCGCATAGCACAGGAAAGGGGACACACGCACTTATCTTTAAACTTACACTTCAGTGAACTGGGTAAGACTGTGGCTTTTATATTAGCAGACCTGGATTTGAATCTGCATATTGTCAGTAATCTGCATTTACTGCCTGCTTCCCTATGGATCAAGTTACGAATGGTCGTGACTCCCAATTTCATCATTTATAAAGTAGGGATAACAATAATATATCCCTCAATGAACTCTTATGAGACTCTAGTGGAATAACGTCTTTAAGGGTGCTCAGTCTGTGACTATGCCTAATTTGTGATCAATATATGGTTTGTTTTTAACCATCTTTCAGTCTCAAGAGGAAAAGTGAACCAAAAGAAGGCACAGGAAGGAATAAGGACCCAGACCTGGACAGTCAGAACAGAAAGGGCTTCCTGGAGCAGATTCACTTTCAGTGAATCTCAACCAACGTCAAAATGATTTAAACATATATATATATATTTTTTCTTTCTTTCTTTCTTTTTTTCTTTTCTCTTTTTTTTTGGAGACAGAGTCTCGCTGGAGCACAGTGGCATGATCTCAGCTCACTGCACCTCCGCCTCCTGGGTTCAAGCAATTCTCCTGCTTCAGCCTACCAATTTTTTTATATTTTTAGTAGAGATGGGATCTCACAATGTTGGCCAGGCTGGTCTCGAACTCCTGACCTAAAGTGATCTCCCCACTTCTGCCTCCCAAAATACTGAGATTACAGATATGAGCCACTGCACCCGGCCCTAAATATTTGCCTAGTTTCTGATAATCAGAGAAAAATGAAAACTCCCTATTTGCCATGAGATATAGTTACTAATTTCAGTAGTAGTTCCGGTGGATAGTGGCCCAAAGGTTATCTAGGTAATTACTAGTTAGGTAATTAAAATAATGTGTTAGATCAAGCTACCCAGAAATAGAAGCTGGGATGGGGACTCTACGGCAAATGACTTATTGTGGAGGAACGTGTCAGAGAATGAGAGAAGCAGAATAAAGCAGGGAAAGACCTGAGGGAAGGATATGATCTCAGGAGGGAGTTAGCACCAGCCTAATTTCCTGGGGAGCTGTGGAGGATGAATGGAACCATAGAGATTGTCCTGCCCAGAGGGAAGAAGGCTGGGCTGCTATATCCTGCATCAATCAATCATT